GCATCAGGATTGGCAAGCAACAGCCTACAAGACAAATCCTGACCACCATCTGTTTACATTAATGAAGTTTAATTTGGAAATACCCATTCCAATTCAGAATTGTACATGCTGGTTTCATGCTACAACTTCTAAACTGAGTAGTTAGCAAACAACTGTATAGCCTTAAGTAGTAGCCTAAAATAATATTTATTGTCTAGTCCTTACAAAAAAAAAAAAAACCACATAGGCCTCTCCTCTGTAAGTGATAAATCAATAAGTAGCCCAACTTGTAAACTTGTAAATCTATGTTATTGCTTTTCAATTAGCTTTTTTTTTTATAACAATTCAACAAATCATTATTTACATCCTATTTATCCAGATGTGTTTTGGGTGTTTTAGATAATATCCAAACCTTATAAGTGAATCTTTGTTTTCAATTGCTTTGAAATCTAAATAAAAACCATGATTTATCACCCAAAGCAAAAAAAAAAAGTCATTTCTGGTGATTAGAAATCTGATAAAGGGGAGAACAACCAAAACATTTATTTAGACTTTAAGTAGAAGTTTTCTCCTGTTGCAAAACAAATTACCAAAAAAGCTGTTCATTTAAAGAACAGACTATCATCTCATAGTTTGTAAGCACAGGTATAGTTTAGCTAAACATTCAAGGTTGCAGTTACAGACTCATCGGGCCAGAAATTGGGCCAGAGGCTCATATGAAGAGCCACGTGAGAAAAGATGTATATCAGGAATACATGGTTGTTGGAAGGATTCACATAGTTCCTTGTGGTCTTTGGATTAATGGGCTTAATTTTGTGTGACTTGAGTATTACTAAAGGTTACATTTAGTCCCTAACTGCTTGTTGACAACTCACACTTCTCAAAAACAGAACTAATGTCCTTTAAACACAGAAGTACCCAAGGTCAGTCAGATGAGTGGATTAGGAAGATCTACTGGTGTGTACAAACAATAGAACACTATTCAGTTTTTTTTTATATTTATATATATATATATATATATATATAAAGTCTTGTCATGTATGTATATGTCATTATATATGTGTATATGCATATATACATACATGTATATGTCATTATATATGTATATATACATATATGTATAGGCATTATATATATAATGACATATATATGACATATATATATATATACGACAAGATATATATATATAATCTTGTCACTTCCAGAGAAATGAATGGAACTGGAGTAGATTATGCTAAATTAGAAAGAAAAAGGCAAACACTGGCTCACTTCACTCATATGGATTATAAAGAAGCACAGCAAACAACTAGACAAAACTCAACCAAAACCCTGGAAACTTTACTGCATAACTGAGGGCAAAAGAAGAGAAGCAAAAGTGGGAGGAGGCCCCATGTGAACTATAGCAGAGAGTTATGGGAGCTTTGTTAGTAGGTGTGAGGTGGTAACACACTTGTAGAAATCTGAAACTTTACCACCCCTAAGGCATACACAATGTTACAAATCAATGTTACCTCAATAAACATAATTTAAAGAGATATTTCTCTAACAAGAATCATATAATAAGAACCACATAAAAATTAAATAAAAACTGGCCCTCCCTCGTGGTGCAGCAGGTTAAAGCACAGCTCTGAGAAGCTAAAGCCACTTCCTCATGAGTTCGATTCCCGCCTGCCCGGGAGGTGACCACATGGCATGGCAGACCTCTCCTGACCCGCCCACTGCTCCCCTCAGCAGTGTACTTCGTAGATCTGCCTGTTCTGCTCCCCACTCTGTCTCTGGTGAAGCCTCTCGCCACCCCTGAGCCTCTGACCTGTACCCCAGTTCTGTATGTACAAATAAATAAATCTTTAAAAAAATAATAAAGAAAAACAGCTAACAGGATAAAACTTACTGGATTTATTGATACCTAGAAGAACACAAAACACTCTCTGGCAAGTCAGGCTTCCATATAAAGGAGAAAAATGTTTGGCTGTGGCTGTCCTCATTTCCCATGTGGGCTGCATCCATTACAAAACTGTCAAACTGAGAAGAAGGGTGAATCTCCCCCAAGACATCGAAGCCCTTGAAACTATTACCACAGGAAATAGCAGGTGTGAGAGCAAGAACGCTTGCCCATGAGAGCTCACCATTCACCCACAGTGATCCCAGCCACTAGTGGGGTCCATTTAACATATCAGGAGCTGACTCATTTCTGAGGGATAACTGGACAGAGATGATTGATGGGGAAATGGCATGTCATCCTCCTGTGGGTAAATGTGCTAATGTAGGGGCAGGGGGCTGGAAGCTGAGGCTCATAATGACTGTTCTCTTCGTTGTCACCATAATTATTTCCAGTGAACATTGATTCAAGTTTCCTCTCTTCCCAGAATAGTGATAATGTAAAAATAATGATACATATCTCTCTGTTGTCCAGGCCCTAGAGCAATGTCTAAACTTTCCATTTATAGCTGATTTGACTTCCTTTGCTTTACATTTGAGATCCCTGGAGAAACTCTCACTACAATAGGTCACTAAAAACCCTTTAGAGATTATACCTAATTTCTGCTCACTTATAGACAGAAAGAGAAATTTCAGTTTTCCTCTGTTTATGGCCCAAGGGAAATTCATTTTTTACCAATGGCCCCAGAGCTCCTTCCTCTTTACTATAAAGTCCAAGTTTCCAAAACCATAAACTGTTCTCTGTACTGAAGACAGAAAAGGCTCGTGTATACCCATGATGCTGGTAAAGTACAGACAGTTGTTCATTGTGCTGATTTTGTACTTTGATTGTTACCTATTTGCAAATAAGCAGGGACTTACAGAAAAATCAGATAAAATTAGGGTTCACCCTATCCCCAGGGATTCAAATAACATACAGATATCTTATCCCTACTAGTTTATTTTGTAATACTGTAAAAGTATTAACAGTCTTTCTCAGATCAAAGTAAAACCCTGGAACAAAGTTTAAAAAGTAACTGCAGGAAACTAACGTAAATTAAATAATAGCATGTCATGCTACAGGGTATGAGGACATAAATTTTATGTAGTGTTTTTTTTAACTTGACAAAGCAGGGGTAATGAGAAGTTATGTTTAATCAATATATTGTTTCAGTTTTACCAGGTAGAAAGAGTTACAGAGATGGGTGGTGAAGATAGTTGTCCAACATGAATATATTTAATACATTTAAATATGAAATTAAAAATGGTTAATATGATACTGAAGATGATGAATTTATGCCAGGTTTGTTCAACAACAATAAAACACTTGACAGGGAGAGGAGAAAGAAGCATCGGATAACAATTCCCTTATACAACCTCCACCAACCTTCCCATTTCCCACTTACTTTCTAGGCCAATGAAAATGATGATCCTCATATCCTCATCTTTGGAGGAGCTAAATTACTGCCATGCTCCATATTCAATGACCTACTACTACAATGAATTGTTCTATAAACTTAATCCTTGCTGTTCAGTATTCTCAACCTCTCACTATCTATTATATCCTAAGCCACTCTATATAAATAGGTACATTTCTCTAAGATTTCCAATATTACAAAAAATCTTTATATAGTAGTCATGGTTTACTTTTTTTTTCTTGCTTTTATTGGCAAGTTTCCAGAAATAATATGCACTCTGCCTTCACTATTTACTTTTTTCATTCCTTCCCAAAACTGAACCAGGTACTCAGCTTCCATCATAGCACTTTAACTGCTTTTTCAGGAGTTATTAATGTGCTTCATCTACATTTGAAAATTTTAATCCATATCAGGTTTGATAACAAGTAATGACACTGGTGTTCATGTAACACCCAGTCATGACACCATGCCCTCTTAGAATTACTAGTTCCTTTAAGCTATCTGTCTCATCTTACTTTACTGCATATCATCTTTTCCAATAACTTCTACAAAGTTACATCTTTACTGTTCTCTTTAAATACATTTTTTGTGGTTATTTCTCCACATGGTTGGGTTAAAATAGCACTTAGCTAACGATCATCCCACTTTATGTAACTGGAAAAAATCTATCCCACCCATGTGAAAATATAATACCATGGATACATTTAGGTGGATTTCTCTTACTCATTTAATATGCGACTTGCTCAAATTTGACTGTGATTTTTTCTTATTCATAGAACTTTATGGTGTAAAATACTGTACTTATAGATAATAATTATCAAAATTTATAGTTACATGGACATATACACCTTGAATCTAAGAGTACAAAAGTTGACATATATTTAATATATCTGTTTAAAATGATTACTTGTTAGTTCATAAGGAAATTCCTACATCTGTTAAGCCCATGGCTCTATATATTTTTAATATATATATATAT